CCCCATATAAGGAAGAAGCCAGGCACTTGGGCATTATTCGCTCAAATCTTCACCCCGTTGACTTCGCTTCGGCCATACACAAGAGAAAGCCTACCATGCTAAAGGAGAGGTTCTTGGAAAAATTCCAAAGGAATTTTTACCACAATGCCGCAGATAAGGGGACGCATCGTCCCCATAAACAGCAAAACTACTAGATATCTGAAGCTAACACGAGGATACCACTGCGGCTGTGTACGAGGAAAACTAAGAAAGGGAACCTTGATGCTTGCTGAATTCTCTAAAGAAACAATGGCCGATACGTAACACTTGGGATAAAGCTTTGGCACTTAGAAAAATTCTAAAACATTTGGGTCATGTCTCACCCCAGACGAAGGGACACATCGCCCCTATAACCACGTCTAACATACCCAAGACGTTGCGACACCCACACCGTCCTCATCAAACACTCGGATAAAGGATCGCGTCGTCTTAAACAAACAATACCTAAACGAAGGAACACTTCGTCTCAATCAAGCCGGGGTGTATTCAACTCTGACACTTAGCAAAAATCGCGAGATTTAAAGGCACATACAAATGAAAAGACACATGCGATACGAAGCAATCATACTTGGACAAAAGGAGTAATTAATTACTGATTTAGTACAAAATGGGGGGGGCACTTCGTCCACTACACATCATCAGGCACTACGGCCACTACACATCATCAGGCACTACGGCCACTAAAGCTAGATAAATAGAAGCTAAAAATCAACTACACTGCCTTGTCGGCCTGGTTGGCTTCCTGGCCAGCAGTACCACCGCCGTCGGCCCCACCACCATCATCATCATCATCATCATCCTCGCCGGCTTTCGAGACATCGGGACTCCTGAGCATGTAGTCATCATTCTCACTCCAGGGCTCGTCTTCCTCACTAAAGCTAGCAATAGGGGCCTTCCTTTCGGCCAATGGCAACTTCATTTCTTCATCTGGATTCTTCATCCGAGGAGGCAGGCCAAGGCCTTGAGGCCTCAACTTGTGGAAGCGACGACGAAGCCGCCTGTAGATTAGCTTCTGCATCCGGTACTGACCGCAGTTAAAGAAGGCCTGCATCTCGTCCATCCAGAAATTCTCCCCAACGAGATCCTTTGTCGTCCAATCCTTAAGCCTCTCAGCTACCACCTTAAAGCAAAAGGGGAGCTGGTCGTCGGCTTTCCACCCGTTGGCCGTAAAATCGGATACGGCCTTCTCAGCAGCCTTCTCGGCCTCAGCTTTGAGTTTTTCAGCCTCCTCGGCCCTTTTCACAGCAGCTTCGGCAGCCTCTAAAATCGGATATACTGTGTTTTGATTCATTTTTCAGTCAACAAAGCACACACCAAACACTTTTTAAACTTAGCAGAAACGTGACCAGAAACCTCAGCAGCAGTCCTCTGCCCACTCCTCTTCTCACCTCTCTGCTAAGCTTACTACTTGTCTTTACACTCTTCTAAAGACATCTCAATGCTTTAGAAGTCGTCTTCATTCTTCACTAAGATCTCCTCTTTAAAACAGAAGTCTCTAAGCTACTATCTCCTTAGAAATCCAACAGAAGACCTTGTGAGGGATTCTGTTCCAAGGTCAATAGAAGACCTTGGGAGGGGTTCTGTCAAGAAGAAATCAGAACATCATTCCAAGGTATTCTGATTGAGACCTTTTGTCTGAAGCATCTCTGGCACCTAGCACCTCTATCTCAAAAAATAAGAAACGCTCATTTTACCTTACTCAGACTTCTTCTTGTCCACCTACTAACAGAAGGTTATTATATACATAGAGGTCAAGACTTCCGCTGTGGATCCTTAATCTCTCAAAAGGTTACTGATCATCATATCTGGGAGGGAAATTCTTTAAAAGTTGAAAAAGCTTTAAAAGTCTATTCACCCCCCCTCTAGACTTTTACCTCTATCTGAGACCATTAATTGGTTTAGCTGGAGGGAAAAAAAATTGGAACGTTATGGAAGAACAAAAATTAACGTTACTTTAGAAGATAGGATTTTCGAACGGTATTCGCGTCCGCAGGTCGCCCACAAGTCGCACTTTTTGTTCTCCGGTTTCAGGATTTGATTCGCACCCCTCCCCCCTACGCGCAAAGAGAACCTTTCCACTTAGAATCTTAACTCCTTAGAATGGGCTTCAAATCCCCCCTGCGCGCGGTTCAAATTCCCTTGGGTTTTCCGGTGTGGGAAATAACCACACTAGAAACCCATCTTTTCCTAGTTTTCTCCATTTCAACGAGTGAACTTCGATAATCAATTTCTCATTCACCCGTTATCCGTTTTGAGTGTACCATATATCGAATTGTAGCCCTAAGTAAGGACAATCCGAAATCACTTTGACCCGACCTAAATAGAAAGTGGACCCCGCTCAAAAAATGTCCCAAAATGACCATTTAATGCAATTTATTAACACATTTTCCAACACTTTTCAACTTTTTTTTGGTAAAATAAGCTGAAAAAGGTGTTTGCAAACCTACACCTCTACTTAATTTAAAGTGCTTTTAAGCCAAAAGTTGGAAGCAAGAGTTATGATGATTTTCATAGCTTTTAGGTTATTCCATAAATATCTTCAACTTTGAGGATGATTGTAACCTAACATTTTGTCCATATTACAACTCTATCCTCTTATTCCAACTCCGTATATGCATAACTAATGATAGTTAGGATGGTATGTAATTTCATTCAAATGTTATATCATAAATCACTTTTTTACTAAACATTCCAACTTTTATCTTTAAATTAAAATAACTTTTATTTTCAATAAATAACTTTTCTCATAATCTCTTAAAAGAATCATTTTTAAAAATCAAAAGCAAATGCAAACACTCCCTAAATTCTCCTAGAGTTTTAATTTTTTTTGGATGAATGGTAAATATATATTAATCACCCAAAGAAAGTTCACAAATACAAGTGACCAAAATTTAAGCCCCCACCCCCCCAAATGGGGGGGAGAGGGTTTTACATCGAGCTAAATCAAGCAACCAGTCACATCAAAACTGGAGCCAAAACAAAACCAAACACATCGGTGCTGCCCAAGGCACGCACACAGATCAAACCAAACAAATAAAAAAAGGTGATGCACGGCGCACTCACTTACAAGTTCACCGCCCTAGCCCGAGGTAAAAACAAAACAGAGGGATAAGAACAAAAAATCAAAAGGTAATCATATCGCTCGGGTAGAGATTGTACAAAATATTGTACACCAAGTGCTTGATCCTATCAATGACTTCGTCTTCCTTCATATGTGACGCATCAAATCTGGCAGCATTCCTAGTTCGCCAAATCATGATATAGTGCAGCAAAAACTGATCCGGATGGCCTTGGAACGAACGAGAGCTCCCTTGCATGACTTTTTGATCCACTTGATGGCGCTGCATAGAGTTGTCATTTGCCGTTCCATTCCCATCCAATTCTTAATGGCTGTCCAAATCCTAGAAGAAAAAGGACAAAGAAAAAATAGGTGTGATGTCGTTTCCGACTCACCCTTACACAAGTCGCATATATTCACAAGATTGAGGTGAGTAATGTTATCCCCCATGGCCAGTCTATTACCGAAGGCAAGCCAAGTAATAAACGAGAACTTTGGTGGGATATAGACTTTATAAATAAAACTCCTCCAAGTCCTAATAGTGCCATGAACCCAAAGAAGGTCATAGATCTTAGAGGATGACAATTACCATTCATGCACAAAGAATTCAAATAAGCAATAGCCTCCATGGCAATGGCGGACCCACTAAGGGTCCCATGGGGTCCCGGGACCCCGTGGACTTCCAAAACAATACATATATATATTATTTATATTTTAAATAAAACTAATTAGTAAATGTATATTTCCAACAATAGCGCCAAATGGACTGAACGACTTCAGCAGCGGAATGGGAGTTTGAGAATGCTCAAGTCCCTCTTCTGGTGCGCAGGTGCAGGGTTCGATTCCCAGAAAGGTGTAAACTCCTTTTTTTTGGCATAATTCATTTGTTTGAACATAAACTTTGCCCCTTTTTTTATCTTTTTGCATAATTGAGATTTATTTAGTCCTATTAAAAGAAAAACTTGACTAAAACAGGAGTGAATGAATCCTATTTTGGGAATTACACATTGATTTTCATATTTATGAATTCTATCCATGTTTTAGTCCTATTTAGAGAATGTTCTCTTATTAAATTTGTGTATGTATGAATGCTTTTTCAATATTTTACGATATAGGATTAAAAGATATTTCAATAGAGTACCCAGATTTAAAGAAATTTGGTGTATCGAGAGTAGTTAAGATGTTAATGCAAATGATTCGTCATTAGTAAAAGAAGAATTGGATAAAGTAATTGATGAAAGTGATACTAATTTGGCTTATAATTTACATACACAACATGTTGATTTTGAATGTTTAGAAGCTGATACTAGATTAAGAGAAAAAATCTTGATTTTCATCCTAATATTCAAGACGAAGTACGTCGCAGTTACCTTAAAAAAGGATCGTTTCACCATCGGAATCATGATTTCCCTTTTAAGGTAACTGGCGGCAAAAAACGTAGATTTGTTTGAAGTTGGTTTGATGAGCATTAATGATTCAAATACACTATCGCCAAAAATGCTGCATTTTGATTCTTGTTATTTGTTTAAGAATGAGTGAGAAGTTGGTGGTGATCGTGTTTTAGGAATAGGGTTTTCAGATGCTATATTTTGTTTACCATGTTATATCCATGTTAAGATTGATACGGCATATTTTCCACCATCTTATTTGTTATCATGTTATTTGTTTAATTTTATATTAATTAGAATGACATTTAGAGAGGGACTCCATGACTCTCTTTTTCTGGGTCCGCCACTGCTCCATGGGAGAGGCGAAACGGGCCAAGATGTTATCTCTAATCTGGGTCAACTTTTTCATGAGTCGGGAGTCCCGGGTGTGTGGAGTGATCCTCCACGCCGAGGCCCCCCTAAGATAAACACGGTTAAGCCATCTCACCCAAAGTGTTTTAAATGACTAGTTTATTGACGATTTGACGGTGCGCGTAGCCTGGTACTCCGGATTTGTATTTTGTGTACAGTTGGGATTGGCTTGTTAGCTTGATAGCTTCCTGTCATGCACTCACCCACCCCCACTCACCTACCCGCCCAAGTCCCATCGCGCCATCAATCACCGGGCAGACACTTACTGATTCCCCGAATTATATAGCGAGGAGGGTGGACTGAAATGGGAAGGATGTCAGCTGTCGGGAGTAACGGAGGCGCCACTGGTGGCGAAGCATGGAAAGCTCATGCTGCAATGGCGATTATTCAGGTCTTCTATGGAGGATATCATGTGATAACCAAAGTCGCTCTCAATGTTGGGGTTAATGAGCTCGTCTTCTGCGTATACCGCGATGTCATAGCCCTTTCCATTCTCGTACCTGTAGCCTACTTCCGCGAACGGTTAGACAAAAAAGCTTCTTTTTTTATTTTATTTTATTTGAGGAAATGATGATGATTGCTATATGTAAGTCATAAACATGTAAGCAATAAAGCTGTGTAATGGGCATATCGAAGTTTTGAGGTCGCAAGCATTAGTAATGCAAGATCAATCCACTAGACCTATTATTCATACATATCTAACCCTTTGCTCTTCACAAAAGCAAATTACTAGGAAAAGCGAACATTAGCAGACAATCCGGGTACATTTCAATTAGAGGAAATCATAAAATGACTATATCAGTGAACTTCAAAATCTCTTCAACCTCCTCGTCACAGCTGTATTGAATACTGAAAAAAATATGAGGCCTGATTAACATCTGTAAGGTTGAACAGATCTTGAAATCATTTCAATGCAAAGAACAGTATTTGTGGCAGTATGATGTGCCGGATGTTTCTTAATTTCTGCTGTTTTGGATGGTCAGTCCTGTTGATGCGGGGTTTTAAGCTGCTGTTATGAAACCAATAGCCTGTAAATTTATTCCTTCCTAGTAACTTTTTTCGTGAACTGCTTTTTATTTCCTTGTATTGAATAAGTTGGACTTTAGTTCCAACTACGATATGTGTTGTCGTTGAATGCAACATATTGTTGAATCCAGAAAAATGTAGAGATGATATCAAAATCATGTTTTGGGCATGATTTGTAAAATTGTTTACTTATGATGACTGTGGACAGTGGTTTGTGCAAACTTCTACGTTTCGCCTGTTTGATGTGCTCAGATGGTCTGCTTTGATTTAATATCTTATTATTAGAATTTATTATGATGATCAGAGGAAAACTTGCATGGATTTTTCTGTTTACAGAAGGTTGAGACCTCCTTTAAATAGGCAGCTGCTAATGTCATTCTTCATCCTAGGACTAACTGGGTAAGTTAAAAAGGCTCAGAGTTGTTTAAAAGTGATTATTGTTTTTCAATTTATGATTACGCCCTTAATTGGCACAATATTTCTGGTACAGGATTTTTGGAAACCAACTTTTGTTTATGATTGGTCTTGGATATACAACTCCTTCTTATGCTGCAGCAATACAACCTGCTGTACCAGTCTTTACATTTATTTTGGCTTTGCTGATGGGGTGAGTTCAACAAGTGATCTTAATTTGTCAGTGAATGTACTATGAAGTATGAACTATGCTTGCAAATGTTAGAAATTTAGAGAAACAAAGAGGGATTGCTCACTTTGATCCTTTCTTCTTATTTGTTTTGTTTTTGTTTTTGTTTTCCTTTTTTTTTATATCAAATAATCAGGAAGTCATTTCATCGCTTTTTGTAATACACTGATATATTACAATGCTTGTATGAATAAAGAGCACTAAAGTACCCTTTATTTGATATATTATGGATCCCGTACCTCATTAAGAGCAAAAAGGTATGACTCCCGAAAAATCAACACTATCTAAAATGAGAGGAGTAAAATTTGATGCGAAATATTGATTTTATTCTCAAATTTTAAAAATAGCGTCTAATTCACTCATTACTTGATGTACTCCGTATATAACATATATATCAAATCTATAACTCTACTAGTCTCATTTAAACTACTATTATGTAAGTTACATATGAAATATTCAACTCATGTATTGTTTAAAAATGATCCACCATTTTTATTCTGTACTTAGTTAAGTTTCGACCCCCCTGAGTCGCTTTGCTGGCCGCCACTGAATATGGCTATGCATGTGTTATTTTATTTTCCCCTTTTCAGTACTACTAATTGTGACTCTTTTTATTAGTCATCTATCTGTTGCATCCTCATTTATTCAGATATATTCTACATACTCCGACATGTTGTTTATGCAGTACAGAAACAGTGAAGCTGCTTACTAGAGAAGGTCAAGCAAAGATTGCTGGTACATTCGTCTGTGTTTCAGGTGCCATTGTGATGACACTGTTCAGAGGTCAGACTGTTCTTGGATATAGAGGATCAGAGTTCACAACTGCACAAAGTGAAATAAGTGCCATTGGTCAGCCCGAACCTTCTGGGTGGTTGATCTCTAGTTTCCTGGAATTGGGATTTGATAAATGGCGCCTTGGCATGCTGTGTTTAATAGGAAACTGCATTTGCATGGCAGCATACCTAGCATTTCAGGTAGGTTGTTTATTTTATGCTTAGGTTAAAGCTTTTACGTAACTCCATGCCATTAATTAGTTTGGCGGACACACAAAACCTATCATGAGGTTTATCAGCCATTTTGGCCACACAACACTCTTTTTTTTGTTCTTTTTGTGGAATCTACTAATGTTAGGACCCCCTCAAATTAACAGTAAAATAGTATATTAATGAAGAACTTCTGCGAGTAACAATGGCAGAAAACAAAGAACTTCTGCGAGTAACAATAACAAAATCAGCAAACTGAGGAACTCTGTTTGCTGTGAAGCTGGCTTACAGGGAGAAACTGATTGCGATTGCAACGAACCTTGTTTTTCAGATTGTTGATGAAGTTGTTAGGAACTCCAAATTCGTAACAGTAAATTGATCACTATTATTGAGGTATATTGCAGAAACGAAGAAGATACAAACAATGCGCTTTGAGAGGCCTCACTCTCCCAGATCCCAATTTTGAAATCCAAAATCTGCCTACCCCTTATTCTACAGCCAATAATAATAACCCTTATGGGCCGGGCCAAAGCTAACTAGTTACTAGCCCAAAACCCTTATTTATACAATATCACACTACTTAGTATAATTCTATTATGATTATTATTATTGGCTGTCCAGGCCCCTATCATATCTCCCCCTTAAACAACCACCTTGTCCTCAAGGTGGGTGATAGGAAACAGCCTTGATCTTCAAATTCATCTTCGTCTTGGCGCCTCTTCCTTCCCAGTACATCCTGGGTTTCTGGACCATGATCTTCATTACTTGACCCTTCTTCATCCCTTTTGAATAAAGCTGTCCAGAACCCGGTTTAACCAGATTCTCTTCAGGGAGAGGGATGTTGTCACCCTGGAGGCCTGGAGGACATAATGATTGTTCTCTTGCTCAGATTTCCTGGTACACCAGCAAATGTTCTCATTGAAATGCAATGTCAGTATGAAAAAGGAATTGAGTTCACTGCTTTTCACATCACAAACAATTGGTACTGTAATAATATCTCCAAATGATCCAAGAAGTTTAAGGTCTAGTGACTCTACTTTATCAATGCCTTTCAATTTTGTAAGCCCAGATGACCAATCAAGTTTAGGTATGATTAAAACTTCTTCAAATCCAATTTCACTCCCACCAGACCTTATCTGAGCAACGCAACAGAATAACAGGAAACCTTCTACCTTCAGAGGATTATTGTAAGTTAACAACGCTATCAGACCGTTTTTCTGCCTTGTGGCCTTCCGAATAGTCTGGCAGAAATAAGTTCAAACAACCCCCAAACAGCCTCATATTTTGCACTCCTGCAACCTCTGTTTTTGGCTGTAGCCGAATCTCAACAATGTGGTGAAGATTTTGACCAGGTTCTTGTGAAGCATTCAGATTATTACCAATTTCAGAAGTTACACGCAAACTACCAAAAACCGAGTTGAAGAATTCTATAGAACCTTTAGTAGCATCAGAAGCTGGGCGTCCAAGAGAAACAAGAACTACATTTGCGCCAACTTCAGGTTCAGCAGCAACGGTAGATTGCTCCTCGCGTTCGTCGTCGGGATGATAGGAACCCATTAGTATAATAATACTAATAATAATAGAAGTATATTAAATAATTGTGATATTAAATAATTGTGATAGTGTATTAAAGGGTCCTGGGCTAGGTACTAGTTGGTTTTGGGCTAGCCCATAAATAAGTATAAATAGAAGGGTGGTATGAAGTAGAATCTGGGCTTGGAAGAAGAGGGGAAGAAGTCCCCGTGGGTTTACCGAAGGCGGGACGGGCTTGAGCCTACCTCTGTGGGCTGGTTGCGGGCTGTTTAAGTAATATTTATTCTTTTTATTTTTCCTGATTTGTTTCCTTTTGGAGTTGATTAGGATTTCTAATATTTGTTTCCTATTAAGAGTTAATTAGGATTTCTATTATTTCTTTCCTATTTGAAGTTGATTAGGATCATTATTATTCTGTTTCCTAATTTGAGTTGATTAGGATCTCTAGGATTTTGTTTCCTACTTTAAGAGTTAGTAGATGTGTATTTAAACCCCTTGTTAGGATTCATTCTGGCTCATCTTGGAATAAAATTAGTTTTAGCCTTTTGGCTCTGTGCAACGGTATTTTTATCGTTGATTATCTAGGCAACGGTTTACCCCGTTGATTTTATTTTTCTGTTCTTATCAATTGGTCGGACCTGCCGGATCTCGTCCCGCCGGAATGACGAGATCTATCAGTGAACGTTTGTTAGAGATGACAGCACTTACCAAGGCGCTCGTTCCACCAGTCACGACGGAAACAAGCTCGGACATGGTTGGCAGCCCCAACGTATCTGCGCACAACGGCGACGGACAGCCACACAACGTCAGTTCCTCATTGGCTGTACTAAAAAAGACTCTCGCACCGCCAGCGACGCAACATTCAACGGTGGTGACTTCACTCGACGCGACATCAACATCCTCGTTCGGAATTGGACTATGCAGCTCCTATCTCACGATGTTGCCCTGGTTTAATGAAGTAGAACCGATCAGCCGGGTTGATAAGGCTGAGAAACGTTTCGAATTGAATTGTACTCTGCCGGGAAAGAAGGCAGCAGCCACTGTAGTTGCGATGGAAGGGTCAGTCCTATACTGGTTGACTTGGATACGGACACGAAAGCCGGGCATGTCATGGGATGAACTTAAACAGGCGATGGCTCGTTATGACTCACGATTTAAGGGCAACCACTTTGAACGACTGTCCGGAGGCAAGCAGACATGGACTGTGGAGGAGTACATCTCAATTTTTCCTAAAGATACTGGGCAACCACTGGGAACAAATGTCAGCCGATTTCCGGATTTCAACTTTGAGGACAAGGTTTTTTTGAAGAGGGATGAAATTGATATGAAGCAGAATCTGGGCTTGGAAGAAGAGGGGAAGAAGCCCCCGTGGGTTTATCGAAGGCGGGACGAGCTTGAGCCTACCTCTGTGGGCTGGTTGCCGGCTGTTTAAGTAATATTTATTCTTTTTATTTTTCCTGATTTGTTTCCTTTTGGAGTTAATTAGGATTTCTAATATTTGTTTCCTATTAAGAGTTAATTAGGATTTCTATTATTTCTTTCCTATTTGAAGTTGATTAGGATCTTTATTATTCTGTTTCCTAGTTGGAGTTGATTAGGATCTCTGGAATTTTGTTTCCTACTTTAAGAGTTAGTAGATGGGTATTTAAACCCCTTGTTAGGATTCATTCTGGCTCATCTTGGAATAAAATTAGTTTTAGCTTTTGGCTCTGAGCAACGGTATTTTTATCGTTGATTATCTGGGCAACGGTTTACCCCGTTGATTTTATTTTTCTGTTCTTATCAAAGGGAGGGAGAAATAAGAAGGCAGTCAGAATTTGAATCTGAAATTAGGCCTTGGGAGTGCTGAGACGACTCGAATTGTCTCGATCTGTTTTATTCTCTTTCTTTCCGTTACAGCCATTGTTATCCGGTCAAGGTCCTGATAACTTTATCAATAAAATACTACTTTCTACTACTTGCTGGAGGGTTCTAATATTGGTATCAGAGCGCTACGATCGCTGATGTGGAAATTCCGTAGCTGAAAAAAACTCTGTCGCAGATGTAGAAGAACCAGGAAAAGGTCAAACAAAATCAATAATCTCCCGCTGATTGGGCGGCGGAGATGTGGAGTCGAATAAAAAAGATCCGTAAACGTCACCGCAGGCGGCATAGAGACCGAGCAAGGAGCCCTCCTCGACACCGTCGGAATTCTGGAAACCAGGTTCCATCTTCGTCGTTAAATGCGCAGACCGTGTTGCACGTAGAAGCTCCCAGTTCGCAATCGCCAATTTCGTCGCTATCAGATTCTCTCCTTACGCAAGTTTCGTCCGAGTCTCTAGCCGCTCCTCACCAGTGCTCTCCGTCGCAAGCCGTTGCTCTGAGTTCACTGGTTTCTTCTCAATCTCAAACCGCGTCTCACTGTGCGCTAGCTCTAGCGCCAGCGGATTCTCTAATAAGAACATAACATAACAATCAACGGTAGCAACAGTTGCCCAAGCTTATAGCTTAAACACCAACTTTATTGAATAATAATGCATAGTTCGAATAACCCTCTTATGGGGGTATATATAGCCTACTCGTTCTAATTAAGGTAGAACTCCTAAATAAGTCATACTAGGAAACCAACTTAAAATAGGAAACAAAATAAAAGGAAATAACTAATTAATTAAGTAACTAATTAAAGCCAACTACAATAGCCAGCCCACGAAGGTGGGCTCAAGCCAGTCCCCGCCTCCGGTAGATTATCCAGGGCCTGGGGCCTGGCTCTTCCTCGGTCGCACCCCTTTCCGGCCTGCTGCCCCGGCTTGCTCCATATCAATTTCACCCTCCTTTGGAAGAACCTTGTCCTCAAGGTTGAAATCGTAGGTTGATCTAGACAGCGTTCTGTCAGCTAATGATTTGCTAAAATAAGCAATCGGCCTTCACTCTTGCATAAGTACCGCCCCAATCTCGGTTTCCGACGCATCACACTCTACCACAAATAGGCGGTCAAATCGGGGCATGGCTAATACAGGTGCTTCGGTCAATGCCTTCTGGAGTCGTCAGAAAGCCTCCTCGGCCTCTTCAGTCCACTGGAAACAAGCCAAAGCTTCTTTTTTTAAAAGTCCCGTGAACGGCCGTGCAGTCAATCCATATTCTTTAACGAACCTCTTGTAGTAACCAGTTAACCCCAAAAATCCCCGGACCTCCCGGGCAGATCTCGGTCGTGCCCGACCCACCACTGCACTGACTTTGGCCGGATCCATGGCTACCCCTTCCTAAGAGATGATGTGATCTAGGTACTCCACCTGTGGTCGGCCGAAAGCACACTTATATAGGAGATGGTTCAAATACAAAGAGCTCTTCTCATGCAAAGTGAGAATGAATCTTGTGCATTCATTTCCACATCTAATGGCTCAAAATGAGCCAAAAATGCACAAAATTCGACCAAAATCGCGGTGACAATTTCGTAAATATGTTGCACTTTTTTGCCACCGCAAAAAGTGCAACAGAAACACGAAACGTGCAAGCGAAACATGAAAAAGTGCATATCTTCACACTTTGCACGAGAAGATGTCTTTTTATTTGAACTCTTCCCCATATATATAGGAAAAAGATCCTGTCCATCCGGATGGACAGAAGGAGCCGTCCGGCCGAGGCCATCAGAGGCCCTTCCCGGTGGAATTTTTTGGTGAAACTTTTTGAGCATGTTCCTTATCAAGTCTAGTTTATCCATATCAAATTTCAGCTAAAAAATCGATCAGGAAGGCAGTGAAATAAATTTTTGAAGATAACTGTGCTTTATATATATATAAACAGCGCAATTTTGTTCCACAATTTATTTGACTGCCTTCCCGATCGAATTTGTAGCTGAAATTTGGTATGAATAAACTAGACTTGATGAGGAACATGCTAAAAAAAATGTCATCAAAAATTCCACCGGGAAGGGCCTCTGATGGCCTCGGCCTGACGGCGCTTCCTGCCCATCTGGATGGACAGGATCATTACTCTCTCTCTCTCTCTATATATATATATATAGGGATGAGTTCAAATGAGAAGATAATCAAGACATCTTAACGTGTACAATGAGAATTAATCTCAGTCGTTCAAACTGTCGATCTGATGCACAATAGCCCCCATCTGATGCACTTTCGAATAGACCTTATTTGATGCACTTTTCAAAAAGTGCATCAAATAAGGTCTATTCGAAAGTGCATCAGATGGGGGCTATTGTGCATCAGATCGAACGACTGAGATTAATTCTCATTGTACACGTTAAGACTTTTTTTTTATTTGATCCAAATTCTTATATATATCAGAAATGCTCACCTCTGAACTACCGGAGGAAAGAGTGTCCGAACCTTACAAATTATTGAGTAACGAGCATTCACAGTGCGGCTAACCAATTTATTCATTTTATTAAGAATGGACCCACTAACCCACCTTATTCCATCTTAGTGGGTGACTAAAATTAAATTAAAACTAACGTTTTTGTTTATAGGGCTAAATACTACAAACTACGAAGTATGGTGTAATAAATAAAAAAATGACTTGATTTCATTCTTACTCATAAAATTGATTCCAATCAGTCTTCCTTAATAAATCAATTCTTTATTAATTTATATAAAAGTCATACTCTATCAATCTAAGATCATCTCCAACAGTTTACACCATTTTTTGCACTAATATGGTGTAAACATCATATCATACAATACTTTATCTTCAACAGTTTACACCATTTTTATCACTAAAAAGGATTTTTTTAATTCTTTTTACTAATCTCTCCGTCCCAAAATAAATGTCTTGTTTTTGCTTTAGCACAAGTTTTAATACAGTGGTTAAAAAGGTAAAAGCTGTGGTTGAGATTTGAGTAAAAAAGGTGAATTGATATGAGCCAATTATTATTGCCAAAAGAGAAAACAAGACAATTTATTGGGGGCAAATAAAAAAGGAAAGCAGGAAAGTTATTTCGGGACGGAGGGAGTAACTTTTTACCATTCCTATATTTAATTAGTCAGGAAACGGGTTGAATGACTACTAATTTCTAAATTAGTATGTATTATGTATGATTTTAATAATGTTATTTTTAATTTTAATGGTGTTAGTAATTGTAATTTTAATTATGTTATTTTCTTAAGTATCATTTGTATTCTGTTATTATATTGTTTCAATTTGAAACTTTATTTATAATATTGTGTGATTGTTGGAGATGGCCTAACACGTATTATGTCCGCTAGTAGAGTTTTTTCATTAAATCTTTACTTTTATTATTATACATTAACAAATTGTTAAAATTGAAGTTTAATTTTGTTATGGATAAAATTTATGGATAAAAGTGTGACTATAGTTAATATATACGTAGTATATATTTTCATGACCATTACGGCAAAATTGAATATATTTGTACTCACTAAAAGTTACTAAGTCACATTTTCATCCACCGTGATTATAATCATATTTCAGGAATTATTTATAAATTAGATTCGTATATTATATTGATTTTTATTAAAGCTAAATATTTTGAGTTTTTATTGGGCCGGGCCGGGTTATAGATCTTTGGCCCGTTTATAAGCCTCGATTTTCAGCTTCCGTCCGGTTTTTCTATTCGGGCCGGTAAAAAAAACGGATCGGGATCATCATTCGGGCGGGTCCAGGGTCGGTTTTAGGGTTTCGGTTCGGTTTTCCCACCCCTAGTAAACAAACATACAAATCATAGGGTACATTTTTTTTTACATAAAGTTTGGGATATATATACTACGTATTTCATCGCAAGTTTGAGGTACTTATCTTACACCCCTTCAAAATTTGGGATATTTAAATTTCTTTTTCTTTAAAATTTCCATGTCTAATTTTATTGAACTATTAGGAAATCATGTTTATAATTATAAGAAATCATTAACTTTTTTTTTGGAAGATAAGAAATCATTAACTTTAAAATTTGATTTTCACCATATACTAGAAATTACAATTTCGAAGAATACTAACAAGTATAAAATCTTTCAAAAAGAAAAATTATTAAATGAAATTTAATAAAATACTGCGTAGGCAATACGGAGTATAAATTGAAGTGGAGGATATAGGGAAACCTCTTTCCACTTGCTACTGTAAAAGCACCATCAACCACTTTCTCTTTAAAAGTAGGCCCACCGCTTACTTTTTCAATTACCGGACGAAGTATTGGTCCGAACTACCGGATGAGATCACGGCTCTCTCTCTCTCTCTCTCTCTCTCTCTCTATATATATATATATATATTTATTTACCGGAGTATATAGGATCAAATACAAATAGTCCTTTCCATGAAAAGTAGGAATAAATGTGGAGCATCGGATTAAGGATCCAATGGTTCTAAATATGTCAAAAATGCATTAAAGTGGATGAAATACGCGGTGACATTTTTGTATATAAATCAATGTTATTCTTCTTTGCAAAAAGTGGACTTCCTGCGTGCATTAGTATACCGTAAGTGATCAAAATTAGACGACAAAAAAATTCTCAAAGCAATAGTGCAACTCGAATGCGCTAAAGTTGTGACGTTCACATTTTGTATTTTAAGACTACTTTTTATTGGAAGCAGACCTTATATATACCCTATATATATGGTGAGGTTCAAATAACAAGAAACCTGTATGTGGGAAATGAGAATGAATTTTAGCCGTTGGATTTGACTATGTTGCAGTAAGAATAACTTCATGTTGCATTGAAATATTCAACCTAGCACGGTGAGATTTTCGTAAATACTTGTGAAAAATTCGTATTACATTTGTCTAGTGGAACATGAAGTTGTTTTTATGCAACATCGTCAAATTTTAGTGCAATATGAAACAATTTTAGTGCAACATTGTAAAATTTAAATCTTATTGCAACATTAAGCTATTTTTAATGCCAAATCGTAAATCTAATGACTGAGATTTATTCGCATTTCTCACATTAGATGCATTTCTCACTTAAATTATATATATATAGGATCAAATGAGAACAATGCTTAACGTGAGAACACCACATTTATCCCAATGTGATGCACAATGAGGCTCGCCCAATGCACATTTTCGTGTTCGGCATAATATTTACCAAAATGCCGCCGTGATTATTTATATTGACTTGTTTTTAGCAAAGTCAAAATGTGCACCAGACGGGTTCTATTGTGTATCACATTGGGTTAATTGTGAGTGTTCTCACGTTAAGCATCCTTCTCATTGGAACCACACCCTATATATTTATATACATATTATATATGTATATATATAGTCTAGTTCCAAATCAAGCGATATACATATTCAAGCATATACATAGTACATGCCAATTACTATGCATTAATTGGTTCAGTTTTGGGTTACCTACCAAAACTGATAATTATCTGAATAACCATTATTCTCAGTCCTTTGATTACCATGTTGCTTGTGTTTGTAGTTGTTTGCTTTGCTTATTTATGTTTTCTTCATCTTATCTTGTTTATCTTTCTTTTTATCTTGTCTTGTCTTATCTTTTTTAACATCTTTTACTATGATACTATCATATCCCATTTTATGTGTCTTGTTTTGGTTTGGCACAATTATTAATAAAGTGGTTGAAAAAGTAAAAGCTATGATTGAAATTTGAGTATAATGAAGGGAAATGCCATGGACCACATATTTCTTTTCCAATAATGGAAATATAACATATATTTTGGGACAACCCAAAAAAGAAAGTAAGACATGTAAATTGGGGAGGGAATATATCTTTTTTAGTTCCGATTTCATATGTCGATTCATGTTAGCCGATCCCAAGCTCGTTTGGGATGTTGTGCTATAGCACGACAACACTTCATATCCTCTACCCGTGTGCACATTTTTTTATAGGATTGTTCTCAAGCAGAATAGATGAGATAGTTTACCACTTTTGAAATGTTTCAGGCTCCGCTTTTAAAGAAATATCCCGCGAACATATCAATGACAGCATATTCATATCTGTTTGGCACCATATTAATGGTTACCACAGCACTTTTTACAACAAGCCTGTCAACAGACTGGAGTTTGACACAATCTGAAGTTATTGCAGTGTGCTATGCTGTAAGTTTATCTTCTTTTGATATATTTATTGCTGATCTTCCCTGAGTTGCGTCCTTACACTCTTTCATCTCCAACAGTCATGTATCTTGATCCTTGCCCCCTGTGGACCTCCCTCGTCAATTAAGAAATGAAATTCTTTCCTCGATACTGATGAACCTTGTGTTCTGTGTTGTACATTGTTTTTTAGATTAATGTTTATTGTGGATTTAGCAATATTAAATCTCCATTATTAGGATATTTAATGCATTTGGTTCTTTACTCCTTATATGTCATTCACTTTTTTCCCCTTCTTATTTTTAGTACACCAAACAGAAGACAGCAACGTTTCCAGCCTTTAACCAAACCCGATGAGGAAGTACTCCTACCTTAGCTGCATCATTACCAAAGAACAAGTACAGTAATAAATCGAAAGTCAAAATTGCCCAAACAAAACCATATTTTTTCACCCAGTGCATACAAATGCCCTTCTCTAACACTACCATCCTTTTGCTTTCTTTAGAAAATTCTTGTACTATTTCAATTCTACTTTTCGTTTTCAATTCAAATAAGCAAGTGAAGATATAATATTCTGACAAGGATCTGGGAAAACAGCAGTCTAATGTGAAGGATGGCATTACTTTTTATGATAAAGTCTACACTAGAAAAGGGAAGGGAAATATTAAATAAGAGACCTATTGTAATTGGGAGTCGGGTGGGATATTATAAATAGATGTCCTTATGATTAGTTGGACAGGTTGGAACTAGTTTGGGAGTTAGGAGTGGGACTAGAACTCTTGTAACGACCTGTAACTGTCTGCCTTCATTTCTGTTACTCGAATAAACCTTTTCTGTGATTGTTCTTCCATTTTGATTCTTCATTGAGCTCGGAATACTGATAGATTCGTTCAGAATGTATAATAGTACAGCAGAAGAAGATAAGGTAGAGATAGTAACCTTAGCTATGGAGGAGAAAGCCTTAAGTTGGTTCCAATGGTGGGAAGAAAAGGTGGTGGACTGGTGGTACGTAACTGGGAACACCACATATGACGAAGAAGGGAAATGAGATAGTAAACAAGCCATTAGGGTTAGGGGCTGGACAGAGACTATCTCCGCAGGAGTAACAAGAACTAAGCAGAAAGGGATTATGCTTTAAATGTTGGGAACATTGGGGCAAGGACCACATTTGCAAGATGAAACACTTCCAATTTGTGGTTATTGAAGATTCAGATCAAGAGGTGGAAAAGGAGATATTGCAGTTGGAAAATGGGGTCAAAGCAGAGATTGAAACTCCTACCATGCAATTATCTGTCCTGAGTAAAGCTGGCATCACTACTCCAAGAACTTTCAAGGTAACAGGCAGGATACAGGGCCACAGGGGTAGTAAAAATGTGGGGGCATTGGTTGATTGTGGGGCCACACACAATTTCAATTTCCCCAGAAGTATTGCAAGAAGTTGGTATACCCATTTTGCAGATTCCTGGATATAAATTGGAGATGGGAAATGGAGACCAAATCAGTAACAATGGAAAATGTGAAGCTATAAAAGTCAAGGTTCAACAATCTACCATAGTTCAAGATTTTTTTACATTGGGCTTGGGAGGAATTGAGATTGTTTTGGGTATGGAATGGCTTTCTGGACTTGGCAATGTTGAATTCAATTTCAGCCAGTTAACAATTAAATGGGAGGAGATCCTAATTTGAGTAGATCTGAGACTTCTTTTACAAGAATAGTCAAAGATATCCAGAAACAAGGAGAGGGGTATTATTTGCTGAGGGCTGAATGGGTACAAGGGAAACCTTAAACCAAACAAGATGAAAATGAACAGGAAGAAGGATGGTTCAAGAAATTACTGAAAGACTTTCAGGAGGTGTTTCAACCTATTAACAGTTTACCTCCAAAAAGAGAGTGTGATCATGCCATTACAATCAAGAAAGGGGCTACTATATCAAAAAAGTCAATTAATTACCCCAACTAAAAAAACACCCAATTATGCCCCCGAACTTTTAAAAAATAGTCAAATGTGTGATTTATCCGGTTAACATTCGGTTATCCGGTTTTTGAGCTGATCCACGTCTGAATTTTTAATTCTTTTAATTTTCTTTTTCTTTTTCATTCTAGATTCCTTCTATCTTCCCTTTTTTCCTCCGCCCCATCTTTCTTCTTCTTTATTCCCCTGCCCCACATCCTTCTTCTTTGTTCTTCTTCCCTGTCATACGAATTGGGTGTCTTCTTGATTTGTTTGGGTTTCTTCTTCTAAGCTTTTTCCTTTCGTTCTCTTCTTTTACCCGTCTTCCTCCATGATTTTCTTTCTACTTCTCCCAAGTGAGAAACTCCAGCAAGGAAGGCGGTCGGCAGCATAGATTTTCAGCTTTTCCCACCGTTGTCGACGGCGGAACAATTGAAAGACCGGAGCAATGTCCGACGGCGTAGTGAAAAAGATTATCCGGACCTACACCAACGTCACCGTCTGGATTTAGTATTTCAGTGCAAGCTTTGCAAGAACGCGCTGCTACAATCAACAGACCCCATTTTCGATTCCTGGTAGTCCAGGACCTTGACTTCCTTTTACTGTGGTCTGGTCAGACTTGCAAAATTATCCTCTCCTATGACTCGTCCCTTTGCAAACTAAATAGCGAAAAAAAGTGCTAGTACAGGATGGAGTATTGTGATGGCTCTTTCACCGTTGGCGACTTGGCTGATCGTTGGTGACCAGCTTCGTCTTCATCTGGATTCCATGACTGATCGTTGAAATACCTCTGTTGGGGAAGAAAAGAAGGGAAGAGAGAAGAAAAAATAGACAAAAAGAAAAAGAAACACAAAAGAATTAAAACTTGAGAGATTGGTTGCCATGTCAGCAGAGTGACCGGAGAACCGGACCTCAACGTGCTAAATGGTTCATTTGACTATTTTTTTAAAGTTCATGGGCATAATTGAGTGTTTTTTTAGTTGGGGGGCTTAATTGATTTTTTTTATATAGTAAGAGGGCCTATTTGACAGTTTTCCCAAAGAATGAGATTGAGAAGGTGGTTCAAGACCCACTTAAAAGTTAAAACTGGAATTATCAAGCATAGCACCAGTCCATTCAGCAGTCCAGTAGGATACCAACCATTGTTAAGGAATTCCATGAATCTGCAGTAGGTGGCCATGCTGGGAATTTTAAGACCATGAAGAGGATTTCCTCTTTATTCTTTTGGGCTGGAATGAGGGCTGACATAAGGAACTATGTGCAACAGTGTGATGTGTCCCAGAGAAATAAATATCAAACATTGAATCCTGCAAGATTACTCCAACCTCTACCTATTCCTTCACAAATATGGACTGACATCAGTATGGATTTATCGGGGGACTTCCTAAAGCTTTTGGAAAAGACACTATCTTTGTGGTGGTTGATAGGTTGACGAAATTTGCACATTTTATAGCATTAGCACACCCTTATAATGCTAAAGGAGTATCACTGTATCAGAAGTCTTCATCCAGGAAGTTGTTAGATTGCATGGTTTTCCGGACTTTTCCCAAAACCATTGTGTCTGATAGGGACAGTGTGTTCTGAGTTCTTTTTGGACAGAACTATTCAAGATGGCTGGAACAAAATTGAAATACAGTACTGCATATCATCCCCAAACGGATGGGCAAACCAAAGTGGTTAACAGATGTGTAGAAACCTACCTTAGGTGCATGACAGGCAATAAACCTAAGTGCTGGCCTAAATGGTTACCCTGGGAAGAATTTTGGTATAATACCAACTATCATGTGTCACTGAAAAACACTCCCTATAAGGCTCTTTATGGGCAGGAACCTCCAGTGTTGATTAGGGGAGATGCTACTTTGACTGCTAATGATGAAGTAACCAGACTGACAGCTGAAAGAAATAGCATGATTGAAGAGTTAAAGAGTACTCTAGCTCTTGCCCAGAACAGAATGAAACAACAAGCTGAGAAAAAGGGAAGAGAAGTTCAGTTGGATATTGGTGGCAGGGTATATCTCAAAATCCAACCCTACAAGTTAAAAAGTCTGGCTAAATGGATTAATCAGAAGCTCAGTCCTAGATATTATGGACCATTTGAGGTGATTGACAAAATTAAACCAGTAGCATACAAGTTAAAGTTGCCAGAAGGGCGTGTTATTCATTCTGTGTTTCATTCATCTCTACTGAAGAAAAGTTTGGCTACCTGTAACTGTCTTCCTTCATTTCTGTTACTCAAATAGACCTTCTCTATGATTGTTCTTCCATTTTGATTCTTCTTTTAGCTCGGAATACTGATAGATTCGTTCAGAACGTATCATATTCTGTCTTCCACCAGATTCCTTTCTAGACTCGTTGAATTACAAAGTTCCCCTTCCTTATTATCAATTATACATGCCTTTTCGAAAAATGCTGTGAATTTTTTGACATTGCAGTCTAGTAGTCTATTCACTTTGTTTCCTTTGTCAGGGAACAATTGCATCCGCTCTTAACTATGGACTTCTGACATGGTGCAACAAGATTCTTGGCCCTGCTTTAGTTGCTCTTTACAATCCACTACAACCTGCTGCATCAGCATTCCTCTCAAGAATTTTTCTTGGGAGCCCTATTTATTTGGGAAGGTTATACTTATCCCAAATACTTTTTCTGGTCTTTTCAACGTTTTAATTACTTCCTGTTATTTTTATTATTAATTGTTGTAAAGGTAAATTTAGTAGTCTTACATATTTTAACTTCATTTATACCTTTTCTTTTTAGAGAAAATTGCTCTAATAAGACTAAAACATAATGATCTTTCAAAAAGAGGACTGCATGTTTGTTTTCCTTACAACAACAACATCCAAGCCTTAATCCCAAAAGAATTTGAGGTCGGCTAACATGAATCGACCTATGATATCGGTGCCAAACAAAGAAGACAAACAAGAAGGGAAAAAAAAAGAAAAGAAAAGAAAAGAAAAAAGGATAAAAGAGGAAGATAAAATGGTTAAAATAAAGATAAATAAATATAAGATAACAATAACATAAGAATATAAAAAAGAGGACTAAACATTACACTTCTACCCATACTATAATTAAATTATACAATTAATTGGCCCTAGTTCCCTAGCACAATCAGGTCAGTCCGTTGGTGGCGGCAGTCTGGTAGAGGCATTCTGGAAGCAGATCGGCGACGGCGAACGGCGTAAAATTTCCGGCCACTGGCGGCGGAGACTAGTGACCGTTAGGCGGCGGTTTGGCGCTTTGGAGGCGGAACTGCTCCAAACCCTATAAGAGTATTTTTGTCCAATCACAAATAATAAGTTATATTTATTAAATTTTAAACATTAGGTTCTAATTTTGGAAAATGAGCATGTTTTGGTCCTATTTGGGGAGTTCTCCTTTCTTTTTACTTGTTAAATGAATGGAATGTCAGAGTGAAACTTGAATTTTGCTCTTTTGTTGGGAAAAGGCTTTGTACTCGCACACATGTGCTTACACCCCATGTTTGTTTGATCTTTTTGTTCGCTGGTTTTGATCCTTCTCCCTTGCCTTCACTCTTACGGAGTACAATGTGTAACCTCCCTAAAGTTGGGTAGGCATCTCACCTCTACAGCACCATGGCTTGACTTGTTCTTGTATTTCTTCCATCTTAAGTTACTTTTTTGTCATATAGTTCTGGATTTACCTATTTTTTCACTAAACAGAATTGAAGATAAACTCACCCAATCTAACATTGGTTTTGATAATGCAGCATACTGGGAGGACTTCTGATCATTGCTGGTCTTTATTTGGTTACTTGGGCTTCGTATAGAGAGAAACAATCACAGACGGTAACTATTCCTCATACTTCTCGCTCCTCGGAACCTCTAATTCCTAGGGAATCTTCACTTAACAAGCTCTCATAGCAGGCAGATGAAATTTCCCTGGTGCCTTCTACATCAACACCTAAAATGAAGGATTAGAACAATAGAAAGTCTTTGACCCCAATTATATATTTTAAATGAAATCTTTTTATTCCATCTTTGGGGTTTACACAGTCACATTCTAAAAGGATCTTTATCGATTTTATTCTTGATTGGAGATGTCAGTGCTGTTTTTAGAGTGAACGTTTAACGTTTAATTGCTTCCATTGCAGGCTTCCTTAATGTTCATTGCATATTTTGTGTCAATTATACTTCGGAAAAACTGACAACAAAAATCTCACCTTTCGCCAGTCTTCTCAAAATAATCTCACCTCAGCATAATTTCATAATAAGATCACCTTTACACTCCATCTTCTTTGGTTCCTAACCGGTTGATGACTTGTTATTCCAGCATTTTTGCTTTTTTTTGGAAAACATTAAACAAATAATTTCAGAATAAGATCACCTTTACACCCCATCTCAATTTTTCCTTCTCTCCCTAGAAATTTTCTTTCTTTATTTTCATTCCTTGGCACTTTTGATTCCCTTTTTTCATCTTGTTTGTATTACTTTTCATGTTTATGCATTATATTTCCATTTTTATTATAAAATTTCCTCCCCGATAGATTTTTTGCCTTTCTTCTTCTCCTTGTACTTCTGTTTCACTTCCTTTTTTATGTAATTCTCTTCAAATTAATTCCCTTTTTATAAAAGATTTTTTTCCCCGATCTATATTCTTCCTTTCCCCCCTTTCTTATTCCTCTTAGCTTAATTATATCATGAAAATATTTCTTTCTTTTTCAGCATTGTCGTATATTTTTCAAAGTGAGTGCACCTATCAAGTCCATCAAATACGGGGAAAACTCTTTTGATAAAAATCTCAGGAAGAAATAAATAAAATATAAATGAAAACAAAACAATCGAGGAAAAGTAAGAAAGAAAATAACAAAAGAAAATATTGACTTATACTCTTTACATGAAAAGGGATAGTTAGGAGGGGGATTAGCCGAAAAGAGAAGAAAAAAATGAAGAAACCTAGAACAAAAGTTACTATTACAAATCATTAACGTGTCAAAGACCAGGGAAAAAGATTGGTTGAAAAGGAAAGAAGAAAAAACAATGGCTTTTGATATGACAAAAAAGGGATAATAAAAAGATGAGAGAAAAGAAAAAAAAAAGAAAAAAAAAGAAAACCGAGTAGGGCATGATACGTAATCAGAGAAAATAAATAAAAATAACGAGAAGATGAAAAAAAGGAAAACGTGTTGAGATGGAAAAAACAAAGAGAGAACAATTCTAGGGAGAAAAAAGCGATACATGAGAATGTTTTGGGAAGATTGGTGAAAGATGAAATTATTTGTCTAATATTTTCCATAGTACAAAAATTGGAACTAGTCATCAACTGGACGAGAACCATGTAAAGAATATGGGAAACAAAAGTGAAATTATTCTGTGAAAACTTTTAAAAGGTAGGGTTCTTGTTGTCGAAATTTCCTTATATTTTTATGGTATTCATATTTTAGGACACACTGTTCTTGATTGGAGAGACAACAACCTATATCCACTGATATATCTTGAAACGCTAGGGATTTGGCACATCTTGGTAGCTGGCTTGCAACAAATCTGTCAAAATCCATGTTAATTCAATGTCATGTACTATAATGTATATAGCTTGGAATTCAATAATTTAAATACGATAAATCATCTTCACCCATACCAAAGTACTAGGCTTGGAGATGGCACCGGTTTGAATTTGAACCAAACAAGCCGGGTTGTGATGCATTACTATACACAAAATACTAGGCTTGGACAGAGTAGCTGTTCGAATTGGAACCGAACAAGATTGTCATATAAAATACTAGGCTTGCACATGGTCCCGGTTTTGAACCTAAACTAGATTGGGGCTGTGATGCATCATTGGTAAGATGTACCAATGCAAGGGGAAACACAAGGTTACCATATAATGGAAGTTGCATATGTTGGAAGTTGCCTATTTTTGCTTTTAGTTTGATAATACATGTATGTTTTAAATAATCTTGCGCACGCTCTAATGCATTTTGATTGGTAATCTTGTTACACGACAATATACTTGAATTGTGAATACATGGTTAATATATACTACGTATTAGATATATATATTATCAATATAACAGTTTTGTTAAGTTGAGCTGGAGTTTGTTAGTCAGTTAGGCTTATTTCTTTTTGAGGTTACTTGTATAAATACTGATCTTAACTACAAGATTGAAGAATAACAATGAATGGACATTTCTTTTCTCTCTCTTTACTTCACACATGCTAACATGGTATCAGAGCGTATGCGAAGGAGATTCATCGTTTATGCTATCTTCTTAACCTACTGAACAAATTCATTCAAAATCCCGACCATCATCTTCCCAATCTGAACTGTGATGGAGTTTAATCCAACTACGAGAGCTAAATCTACAAAAGATATGAAAATATAGCAGCGTAAGGCAGTATTATTATTCCGGAAGAACGATCGACCCATCCCTTGGTAGGGAATGTACATGAAGTATTTATAGACTCTTAGAGTTAGTATTTGAGGAGGAAACTGATATAATAAATGCTATTAATTACATATTCCAGTCGAATAGAACCCCTGTAACGTCTTGGACGTTGTGCAATGATTGTCTCCTTTAAGTTCACGTTTTCCCGTTGAGTCCTGCCTGCTGCCAAATAGCTATGCTCGAATGATAGCCTGCCACGTAAACCAGCCTCACTAGAACTCCGCCCAGACTCGAGGTCTGCTATCCAGCTCGGCCTGGTTGTGGGTTCCTATCGTGGGCTTGATTCCATTTTGGCCCATTGACTTATTTAATATTAATCTCGATCAGGGTTGATCCCGTTTATGGGCTAACCCTATAATATTATGGGCAAATAAAAAATGGCCCAATTTCTCGCCCAAAAATCCGGGTCAAAAGCAGGTCGTCAAAATATGTTAAACGGGTAAAGTGAAAAGCCTTCGAACAAAATGTTATGGCGTTGGAAATCGTAGAGTCGCATGGGGTTTCTCTGTTAGGGTTGAGTATAGGCATGGACCCGGTTCGGGCCACCCGGCCCAGCCCGCTACTGCGCGGGACCGGCCTGGCCCGCTATTGCGCGGGACCGGCCCGCTACTGCGCGAGACCGGCCCGGCCCGCTACTGCGCGGGACCGGACCGGCCCGCTATTGCGCAGGACTGACCTGGCCCGCTACTGTGCGGGCCCAGCCCGACCTGGTGCTTCGGGGCTGAAACCGGTCCTTGACCCGGTTTGAAGGCCTAAGCGGGGGCGGGCTCGGGCTGCTTAAATGGGGACCCGGCCGGGCCCGGGCCCGATTCGGGTCTCAAACTGTTTTTTTTTTGTTTTTTTGTTTTTTCAGTGTTTTTGGGCTTCCCTAGGTTGGGCTTGATGTTTTGGGGGAGTTTGGGGGGGTGGGGGGTGAGGGGGGAGGTCAGGGGCTAGTTAGGAAAGAAAACAAAATACAACCCAGCCCGAGGCCCGGCCCGAACCGGACCCGGTGGCAACCAGGGCCGATCCTGGGCCTTCCCCCAATCACAAAAGGCCCGGCCCGGCTCCATGTCTAGTTGAGTAGTCAAGTCCTTTCATAAGTGTCTTTTCATTAAAGAACGTGTCCAAAGAAGACTCAATGTCTAATCACATTGGGCTTGCATCAGGGAATAGTTAGCCATTTGATTACCTTTCACGATAAAATTTTGGACATGTTTAAATAAATTTTGATTTTGCTAAATACGGAATATATATATATATATATATATATATATATATATATATATACATACATGTACCCAACAGAAGTGATTCTCAAATCGACCATTGACTGATTCTACTAAAATTTATGAGTATTGACTGAAGTGATTGGGTCGAAGGATTCTGGTTATTTATGAAAAAATTATATGTTAAATATATTTTATTAATTAAATAAAGAAAAAATTATATGAGAAAATAGTAAAAATAATCATTTACAGTAATTTCAGCCAATACAACCAGAAAATTAACTCCAATCTTTTTTTTATTACACAATTCAACACACCAAATCAAAAGTTGCATGTTTGGTGAAAAAGTTGGATAATAAACCAATTGAAAAACATGATCACCAGACGGGCTCTTAGAGGTCATAAATTTGATCAACAAAAAGAATTTACCCAATCATCGTATTAAACGTTGTGTACTTTGATTTGGGTGAAGATTAAGAAAAGTAAAAATCATGTGGTTGAGGTTTGTAAAGATTAACATATACCGATTTATGTGAAAAAATTATCAATTAACATCATTTTTGTAAATCTTTTCAATATTAGATTTTTTTGAAACATTGAATAGTAGTCTTAAAAGCATTGCATTTATATTATTTAACTAGATATTTTATGTATATTATATTGAAATAATGTCATTAAAAGTATATATTACCATGTATATGTAATTACATTTTCAAACAAAAAAGTTGATCAAAATTTATTAATTCCTTCTTATTCCAAAACATATTTTGTACCAATTATGAGTCATTACTATCTTTTCGTTAATTATAATTTTGTGTGTATTACATACATGTAAACTCGTTCATTTACACATTAACTTATACTGTTAACAAATAATATGATATAGCTACTACTTAGAATGTTTTTATTTGGACTATTTTCACTTCCAGACCAGGTCAGACTTGACCAGACCAGACATTCATAGTTATAAAATACGCAGAGACAAAAAATTTACCAGACCAGACTAGCAAATTACAGTCTAAGTAAAAAACATCCTTAATCTATGTCTCGTGCATCGCACGGGTGAAAATCTAGTTTATCTCAAATCGTAATGGATTGGTTAAATACATATTTGATATACTCATGATCTTAATCTTATATGAGAAATCAATTTATTCATGTCCTGAGTAGAATTTTCTAAAGCCGTATTAAATTTTATATTAATGTGCCCTCAGTAGCATTTCATTGCCTTGATCATGTATTGATTGAAATCTCTAATCAGTTTATTAAAAATAAATAAAAAATATCCATTACCTTTCTAATGCTTACTTTTATTATCACAAATTAATTCATGCTACTTTGAGCTAATGTAAGCATTAAGAAAGTACATTGAAGATTACAGGTGCGTTCCACATATCTCTATTTATAATTTGGTCATTTTGGACGTAATATGACTACATGTAAGGAATAAATTGTATTTAGATTTTGATGATGCTAGACTAATTAGGATATTAGAGTACCCCTTTCGTTAATTTGTTTCAGAATTTTTCAAAGTGTAAGTACTAGAATATTCGACAGAACAGAAGACCCCAGGTCTTCTAGTATGCCTGCTGGACGCAACTGCTCCTGTGTTCTTCGTGGACGATCCAGATTGTAGACCGGCAGTTCTCAGAGCGGAGATTCCTTATACGCCAGTGCAAGGGCCAACAACCACCACAGACGTAGAAAGCTTGTTAGGCGTGGAGACTCACTCGATTGGCACTGTACAATCCCTCACATGGGCTGAAATTGTGATGTGCGCATCAAACAAACCAGGTGATAAGTCCATTTTTGTACTTATTTTTCTTATCAAATTTAAGCGATTTTTGAATGAAAATAGAAAGAAAAGACACATTTTATATATTTTGGTTCAAGTTTCATGAAATCAGGTAAAAATCACATCCATAATATGTTTAGCGGGATTTCGGGTCAATTGAGCACAAAATGAGCCAATTTGGGCAACAAATGATATCATACCGAAAGAAGGAAACATTATTTCAAAGTAGTCCAGAAGACAATATTGAAGAGCACAAAACAAGGAATAAGCCGGACAAATAATCTCACAGGCGGCCGAACAGGCGGCCAAAATGGAGGCCTTCGCGGCCGCCTACGTTTTTTTTGGAAAGTCAAACTTTGACTTTGACCGAATTTGGAAAAGACCGTAGGCCGCCGACACTGGACAGAAGGCGGCCGCCTACGGTGACCGCCTGCGGCAGAAGACGACGAAGCAACCGCCGGCCGGTGGGACTTGACGGCAGGCGGCCAGACAAGAACGGCAGGCGGCCGCCTGCTGGACCGCCTGCGGCGGCCGGGATCCGCCGCGATCCGATTTGCCAACGAAAAGACGGTAGGCGGCCATTTGTGATGGAAGGCGGCCGCCCTCTGTGGCCGCCTACGGCTGACGGAGACCGGCCACGACGTGTTGCTGGCGAGTTGACGGCAGGCGGCCAGATGCTGCCGGAAGGCGGCCGCCTGCTTGGGCGCCTTCGGGATTTTTTCTGCTATAAATAACAGGCTTTTTCCTCATCTCAAACACACCTCTTCCAACCCTAAATCAGTTCAAAACACCTTCTTTCTTCCTCCATTTTCGAGCTCCAAAGGTCTTAGAGAGAGAGAAACTTCAAATCTTCATATCTTCTTCATTTTAGCTCCAAATTGTAAGTTCTTTATATGTATTTTCATCTTCTCAACGTGTAGAATCTGAATCTGTGCTTTGTTTCTTCAATCTGTTCTTCGAAAATTTCCAGATTATTTTTCAAGTATTTCGCATTTCCTTCCAAAAATTAAATAAAATAGTTATTGTTGTTGAATTCGTTCCAATTAATTATATAGTTGTTCACTAGCCACAAGGTAGTTATTTATCTGAAGAAATTAATTTTTCACGAAGTAGAAGTAATTTTTAATTTATTTCGGTAATTACTTGATATTATTGCTTAAATTTAAACAAATACTCAAAAAAGAAAAAAAAAATTAGTTCGGCCTTAATTTCAGTTTAATTCATTGTTATATCACTACCAGTAGTTAAAATAAAATTTATAACGAAGTTAGAGTATTTTTAGTTGCTTTTTTGCATTTTCTAGTTAAAGTTGGGAAAATTATCAATTAGTTGTTAAAATTGGATTTTAGGTTCAAAAATTGGTGAAAAATTCCAGAAAGTTATATTTTAGTTCCTACAAGTTTATTGTGCATTAATATAATTTTTTTTTTTAAATGTTTGCTATCATACATGTTTAATTCCTTGTTAATGTTGAATTTAATCATTATGTTGTTAATTGCAAAAATGATGATGAGTAGCTAAATTTGTTAGGGCATGAATTGAGAAAAGGAATATGGATTGACTTGTTGACCTAAAATTAGGGGTTAAAATTAATAAATTGGACTAGTTGTTTAAAATGATGAAATAGTAATTAAT